AAAAAAAAAAAATGATAACCTTTTTTTTTTTTTCCTTTTTGTCTTTTTTCGTGTCCGGCAACAGATCGCAACCCTCAGTGTCGCGCCCGTACCAGACCGGGACCGGCAACGGGATCGCAACCCTCGGTGTTGCTCCCACACCTCGCTCAGCCAGTGAGCGGGAACCGGTCTGTATGTGGGATCCGAACCCTCGGCGGGAGCGCCACCACGCTCCCAAGCGGCGCACTGTAGCAGTGTGCCACTGGGCCGACCCAAAAAATGATAACCTTTTGATTGGCTCTTTTCTTCTTCGATTAACTGGAAACTTTTATAAGAGAAATTTCCCCTCGTCATCTGTTTTGTAGCCATGAGGGTACAGTCCATATATATATTTTTTTAAAAACCTAAAAGTGGGAGGGATACTTCTCTTCTACATTATGTTTACAATAAATTGGTTTCCTAGCATCCTCCAAGGCTGACCACTAAGTTGTTTCTGTTTCCGAGTACTGTTATGAACTTAGACAGCTCTTTAGTCAGATGGCTCTGCCTTCTACTGCCAGCCTTGACCCCCAGGCAATCTGCTCAGGATGGTGGAACGGGGGTTGACTGGTGGAGGTGGGAGGCAGGGCAGAAGCAGAAGGCGATTTGAAAGGGATGGCATTGTATGTGTGTGTGTGGGGGGGCCTGTCTTGAGGTCTTCCATATTAATTCATCCTGAAAAATCTTTTGTTGCCAAAGTCAGTAATTCCTGTATAACTGTTGCCTTGGTTTTATAGTTTTTCACATTGTCTTAGAAAGAGCTAAATCAATTTTTAAAGGCCTCTTCAAGCAACTGGCAAACAGCACAGCCAGAAGCTACAGAAAGGGCATTTTGGATCTTAAATCCTTAAAGGAAGCCCCCGTAGGAGAGAAACCAACTCACTTTTGGAATGCTAGGGGCAAGAAGTAGAGCACCAGTTCTCAATCTGGTTGATTATTAGTCACCTGACACTTGTTTAAAAAATCACATATGCCCTTGCAACACCCCCAGAGACTGTGAATCATTTGGTCTGGGGTGAGATTCCGGAATTGACAGTTTATATAAATCATTATAAAATTTTGCAAAGTGAGTCTAATGTTTAACCAGAGCCATTTCCAAGCCTCCAGAAGTCTAGCAGGCTAATGACAATTGTGAGACACCTACAGCCTCATCACCTGTATTCAGTTGCCTGATGTTAGTAGATGATGTATCTGCCCTGCTCCTCAGATACTAAGCTAGGAAAGGTGATGCCAGGAAAGTCTCACTCCTTCCCTCCTTGGGATGCTGAGGCCTGATGAGTGTGGCTGAGTTCCAACCCTTGAGTCTTCAACATGAGACGCAGCACTGTGCCCCCACCTCGACTCCAAGAATGGCTACATTTACATTGTGCTTGGCACTGTTCTAACAGCTTTACATTTCTTAACTTCCCTAATAGGTTGGGATCATCTCCATTTAACAGGTGAGCAACCTGGGATCTGAGAAAGCTGGGTGACTTGTTAAGGTCACAAGCCTCTGGGTGGGTTCTGGGCCTCCATCCTATCACGTACTGAACATTCTGCACGGTTCCTTTGTCGCCCTGAACTCATCCCTAATTAACCCTTATGGTCAAAAACCTTACAATCCGTCTGAGCTCTCCAGACTGCCTCGTGAACTTCTCTGCGGGCTCCAGACGGTAACGAACGCGCTTATTTAGTGTCCTGGCTCCAGGTGCAGGCACTGGCCACACCCTCAGCCCCGCCCCTCCGGAACCCCCTTCCGAAGGAAGTTTTCTGTTTTAGAATTTCCCACAGTCGCGGTCTTTGGCCTGGCCTGCAAGCTGCTCCTTGATTGGCTGCGCTCCTGGCCGCGCCCCAGGGCCCCGCCCAAACGCGCCAAGGTCCCGCCCCTGGGCCCTGCTGGGATTGGCCCTGGAGGGACCGCCCAGGCACGGATTGGTCCGAGGTGAGACCCGCCCACCTGCCCCGTGTGGGCCTTCGGGACAAGCGGAAGAGAGATCGTCCAGCCATGGCTGGGGCTCGCAGGCTGGAGCTGGCCGAGGCCCTGGAGCTGGGGCCTGGCTGGCGGCATGCGTGCCATGCGCTGCTCTACGCGCCCGACCCGGGGGTGCTCTTCGGCCGCATCCCGCTGCGCTACGCCGTACTGGTGAGGAGGGGGCGCGCCCGGCCACTCCCTGTCCCGGCTCCGCGCTCTCCCTGGGGCGCACCCGTTGGACTCCCCAGCCAATCCCCGCCTCCCCCTCCCGCAGATGCAGATGCGCTTCGATGGGCGCCTGGGCTTCCCCGGAGGCTTCGTGGACGCGCAGGACAGCAGCCTGGAGGACGGTCTGAACCGCGAATTGCGGGAGGAGCTGGGCGAGGCGGTGTCCGCCTTCCGCGTGGAGCGCGCCGACTACCGCAGCTCGCACGCCGGGCCCAGGCCGCGCGTCGTGGCCCACTTCTACGCCAAGCGTCTGACGCTGGAGCAGCTGGTGGCCGTGGAGGCGGGCGCACCGTGCGCTAAGGACCACGGGCTGGAGGTGGGGCCAGCCTGGGACACCGGCCCACACCCTGTTCCTCTTCACATCGCACCCCTCATGTCTTTCATCTTGCCAGAAAATCTCCCTGGCAGGAGGTCATAGTCCCTCTGACTTTGCCCTCTTCTTCAGTTTCCCTACTAATTGGGGTGGTGGGGTGGGGTCTTGATCATCTGTAATCTGAATGATACTGCCAAACGGGTCTCCCTAGGAAGGTCTCTCCTCTTCGATCCCCTTCCCTCCTCACCCCCCCAGCTTTCCTGGGGTCTGCAGAGATCTTTCTAGAACACACCCCTGCAAGTCTCTCTGCTACTCTCTATTGATAATGTCCTGGCATGGTACCCTTGGCTTACTGTTGGGTCTTTTATTCTTGTGTAGGACAAGTGGCCCTGGTATTTAAGGCTAGGGAATAGATGTGTGTGGAGATGGTTATCAAAGCTTGGCCAGTATGAGAATATTTTAGGGACTTAAAAACAGTGAATACTCCCAGAATTGCTGGGGAGGGCCGCTGGGAGACCGGAATTTGCATTTTTCGCAAGTTCCCAAGTGGTGCTGACACAGGTGATCTGAGTACCACATTTGGAGAACAACTAGTGTAGGGCCATGCATACATCCTGGAAGGCTGGAACCACGAAAGGTGGGAAGGGTTAGCATTTATAGAGCTGGATAGCATGCCCTGGGTCATTTGCCTGTAGAGGTTTGGGCACACTAGCCTTCACTGGGGGATGAACTTTTGCCCTGGTTCTGCTGGGCTGTGAAAGGGTGAGCCTTGTGCTTTAGAAAGATCTGCTGGAGAGAGGATGGAGGTTGGGAGGTGAGCTACCTGGTGTCCAGTGTCTCCTGTCTTCTTCTTTTCACAGGTCCTGGGCCTGGTGCGCGTGCCCCTGTATACCTTGCGGGATGGTATGGGAGGCCTGCCTGCTTTCCTGGAGAATTCCTTTATTGGAGCTGCCCGAGAGCAGCTACTGGAAGCTCTCCAAGACTTGGGACTTTTGGAATCTGGCTCTGTGTTGGGCCTTAAGAACTCAGCTCATTGCTAGAGGCAACCCTCCGTGGACCCATGGAACCTGGGATGAGGACCTTGGTACTAGGGAGGGATGGAGGGAAGGAAAGAGGAATGTTTTCTGTGGCTGAGAGGTGACAGATGATACCAGATTAAAAGAGGAAGTGTGTGCAATGTGTTTTGAACAGAGGGCCCCACCCCCCCTCCGCAGCTACTTATGGCATCAAGAGCAAAAATTCCCAGCTCATCCTAGGGGCCATGGCAGATTCTCAGAGCTTGCCTCCTTCCTGTGCATTTGCACACACAGCTTGGTAATGCCCAGGCATGCAAATGTACAATCTGTGACCACACACCTTTCCCCCATCAAGTCCAGTTTAACCAGGAAGTGGCATTTGGAACCTGTCTGTCACCATATGCTGCTCCTTGCTGGGAGGAGCTTCTGAAGTTTGAGTGGGTCTCTTCCCACAGGCCTGCATGGCTGCTCTCCAGGGTCTAGCCTAGGCCATGCTTGTTGGGCAGGATGGAGAAAGAGGACCCTCTTTGCTCCCTAAAGTAGTTATGCCTTTGATTGAGAGTTGACCAAAGTCATGGGCTCCTACAGAGGGAGAGAGTGTCCTAACTAATCCCCTGCTTCTTTTCTCCCATTGAAACTGAGCAGAAGGGGAGAGAAAGTGGCTATATCTTCTTGAACTGACCTTGGACTTGAGAGCTCTGAGTCCTAGTGCCTCTCCTCCAGACCTTTCATCTTTGGGGTGCCTTAGACTCTGGGGAAATCAGAAGGGAACTGACCCAGACCTGTCTAGCCCTGCCCTGCCAAACAGTCTCCCAGTAAAGAAGAGCTTATAGCTGGGCATTGAGGCCCCTCAGTTCTTTCAACACATATTTATTATGTACCTACTAAATGTTGGGTACCTCAAATGATTTAGAGAGCCATTGGCCTTGCTCTCTAAATAAGACTCCAGAGCAGGGGTGTACAAAGATTTTCTTAAAGGCCTGGGTAATGAATAATTTAGGCTTTGTGAGCCATATGGTTTTTATGGCAACTATTTAACTCTGCATGTGAAAAGTATGTGGACAGTACATAAACAAATGGGTGTGGCTGTGTTTCAATAAAACTATTTGAAAAAGCAGGTGGCCAACCTCTGTGTAGTTTGCTAACCCCTGCTCTACAGGGGAAGGTAGGATTAGTAATTTTAATTGTGATGACTATTTACTTGATATTTAAGTGTTAAGAAAGAAATGAGGAGCTAATACAGTGTGACTTTGATATTTTTTACTTTCAGTTGGGATGGTATATTAGTACATTTTCTGCTGCTATAACAGAAATACTTGAGACTGGGTAATTTATAAAGAACAGAGGTTTATTTGGCTTACGATTCTGGGACAGCTGCATCTGGCACAGGCCTCAGGCTGCTTCTACTTATGGTGGAAAGTGGAGGCAACTGGTGGGTACAAGCAGATCACATGGTGAGAGGAAGCAAGAGAGAGAGAGGTGGGGGGGAGGTGCCAGGGTCTTTTAAACAACCAGCTCTCACAGGAACTAATAGAGCGAGAACTCACTCATTAATCCCTCCTTCCACCTAGGGAGAGCATTAACCATGCATGAGGTATCTGCCCCCATAACTCAATCAGTTTCCAACACTGCCACATTCAGGGTCAAATTTCCACCTGAGTTTTGGTGGGGACATCACATCCAAACTCTATCAGATGGCCTGGAAGGGCCTTCTTTGGAGAACATTTAAGCTAAAGAATGAGATGGAATTAGACAGGTAGGAGTATGGGAAGAGTATTCCAGAGAGAAGCATGTGTCAAGGAGCTGAGATGGAAAGAATCTTGGCAAACCATCCCAAAACTTAGTGCTTAAAACAGAACCATTTTATTAAACTTCAAGATTTTGTGGGTCAGAAATTGGGATAGCACCCAGCTGGGTGATTCTGTTCCATGTGACATCAAGCATATTCCTTGAAAAGGCCAAATGGTACTGAACCAGCAGATAGGACTTGTTTGGAGAGTCCAAGATAGCTTCAGTCATGGGTCTGGCACCTTGGTAGAGATGGCTGGAAGACTGGCCCCAGCTGGAACCAGAGGTCCTTTACATGGCCTCACCACCATGGTGGTCTTGGTAGATGAACTTCCTTCCTGGTGACTCAGGGCTTTTTGAGAAGTATTCCAGGAGACCCAGATAGGAACTACAAGGCTTCTGATATGGCACTGGACATTACACAGTGTAACTTCTGCCGCACTCTAGTGGTCGAGCAAATCATTTAAGGCCAGCCAAGTTTCAAGGGAAGGGGAATTAGACTCCATTTCGTGATGGGGAGATGATGGGTGGGGCAGAGGGTCAGCAAAAAAAAATTGTAGGTAACGTTAACCCATTGGAGCAGGTCTAGAAATGGAAAAGGGCCAGTGTGACTAGACCATAGTAAGTAAGGGCAGAGAAAGCTGGAGAAGTAGGTGGGAGCCCCACGGTACAGGGCCTTGCAGGCCGTGGTGAGGGACCTGGTGTACATTTCAAGGCAGTCATTCTTATGTGGAATATGGACTGGAAGGGACAGGACAGGAAGAAAGAGAGGAAGCTGTCATGGTGTTTCCATGGGTGGTGGCACTGTCAGGACTAGAGAGGTGACCAGGGAGGTGAATGCAAGTGGACATGTTTGAGAGAGATCTTGGTGGTGGCATTGACAGGACCTGCTGATGGACTGGTTGTGGGAAGATGGAGGGGGAGGAAGGAAGAGGATTCAAACAAGACTTTTAGTTTGTGTATTCAGTCATTCAAGTTGGGAATGAAGGTGAGTGGGGAAACAAGCTTTTGAAGGTGACCAGGATCAAGGTAGCTATTTGGGCATGTTGAGGCGTACATTTGTGAGTCATCTAAAAAAGGTATAAAAACTTTTGACAGAATGGATGAAATTGTCGATGGGCAGAGGAAAGAGAAAAGGGTCTGAACAAGGCCCTGAAAAACCCAATCCTGAGAGTTTGTCAGGGGGAGCAGGACATGTGTCAGGGTCCTAGGTATAGAGAGGAAGCTGCTCTAAGAAAGTGACAATGCCAAACGCTTGTGAGAGTTTCAGTAAAATGAGGGCAGGACTGTCCACTGGATTTAACAGCATGAGCTTTTTGATGACCTTGATGGAAGTAATTTCAGGAAGGGGTGGGGGTGGGAGGCAGACGGGACATGGTTGAGTGAATGGGAAGGGGGAGTGGACAGTGTGAGAAGTTGGTCCTAGAGGGGTGTCGAGTGATAACTAGAGAGGACTGTGGGTCAAGGGGGTGGGGGGTTTAAGGTGGGAGATGGGCCATGTGCATCTTGATGGCAACAGTCCAGATGGAGAGTGGAGAGAGATGGGATGGTGGAGGGGGAAGACTGAGGGGGCACAGTCCCTGAAGAGCAGAAGGGATGGGCCCTCAGATGGGAGGAGAGACAGTCCTGCAGCATAGTAGAGCTCAAGGAGAGGACGGGGCACGTATAGAAGATCAGGTTGTTTACGTGAATGGTGGGAAGTTGAAGGAGTTAAATCTCATCGTGAAATGAAATGAAATCATCTGTGGCTGTGTGTAGAGAATGTTCTTGGAAGGTACGAACTAGTCATTCCCCTTGGTATGGAAAAGCAAGTTGATTAAAGAAACAGCAGAATAGCAGGGCAAGGTTAAAGCATGAGATGGTGAGTCTAGAGTAGGGAAGTAGGCTTGGAGTTGTAGTTTAGAGCAGGCGCTCGGGGGTGTGTGTGTGTTGGGGTGGGGGCTGTGTACGCACCTGCTTTCCCCTCCTGGGTGTTCAGCAGCTTGGATGGAGACACTTACTGCAGAGCTGGGCTCTTCCAGGAGAGTACAAAGAAGGGAGAGACAGGCAAGGCAGTTAAGGTGAGAGGCACAGGAGAAATTATAACAATGGACTGTGTGGTCCAGGGTTTAATCTGGGTACTAAGGAAAATGAAGACAGAAGGTGACTGGAGGGTACCAAATTGGAGGTCTCAATGAGATAGAAACTCCAACATGGTGAGGAGTGGGGTAGGGGGTGTATTTGAGCCACACAGGAGTGTTTTGGAAATGGGAGGTGGATGTAAAGCCAAGGTCCAGCGCATGAGCTGGGATGGCTGGCCAGAGCCAGGAAGGAGCTGTTAGAGGTGAGATCCAGGGACAGCAAGGCCAGAGGGAAGATGAGCATCCAAGGGGGTGATGAGGCTGTAAACTGGTGGACGTTGGAGAGGACAGCGTGAGGTCATGGTGAACGCGAGGAGCTACCGCAAGGCCAGTGACAGCTGCCTGGAGGGACAGTGGGCGCGTCAGCACACAGCCTCTGAGGAGCAGGGCTCTTAAGGGGAGGAGGGTCGTGGTGTGGAAGCAGAGCAGTGTGGACCCCCATGGCAGTTCCTGTCCTTTGAAGTATGGGGCTGGAGGGTGGGGAGCAGCTGTAGAGATGAAGTGGATTCCTAGAGAGCTTAATTACTCTGCCTTTTTTCTCTGTCTAACCCGAACCGTTTTGTAAACTTCACCTAGATTAATCCTTCAGGATATGCGGGCTGGAGGGAATGGCCATTGGGCTGCCTCCCACGCCCCAGCCTGCACCAGCTTCCTCTGTGCTGTTTATTGCTCAGCCTCAGTCATATCTGCAAAGGAGGCGAGGAGCCTTAGGGCGAGAGGATGAGAGTGACTCGCCCAGGACTGTACCGCTAACAGGTCGCTCCCTGCAGGCTCTGGTCCTATGCAAATCTGGCCCCTGGCCTCCCGCTGGGATGGAATGGGGTCCAACCCCACGTACCCTTCCTGGGGCTCCTTTGCAATGCTCCATCTCACTCCTGAGCATTCTGGTGGCCAGTCTCTCAGGGGTCCTGCGCAGTTCATTTGTCCACTTGTCTCTTTATATTAAATGTCCTTATTTTTTTAGGTCTCTGGGGATAGATGAGTGGGGAGTAGCCTGTGACTTTCCTGTGTCACTCCACAACATACCTTCCTGCTCAGCTCAATCCTTCTCAGTAAGTATTTCATTTTCCTGTGGTGGGAGCTCATATCTCTTCCCCTTCTCATCGAAGCACTTTTGTAGTGTAGGAGAATTAGGTCACTTACAACAGCAAAATCTGTATGTCTGTTCAACAGACTCAAAGTGCAAAAGTATGGATGCTGCCAATGTATTT